CTGGGGGACAATGCCATGCTCAGTCAAAGCTGTTGGGCTGAATGTGCTGCGAGGGCAAAGGGACACAGGTTGAATTAGAGACATGTGGACAGCTTGCTAATCTATCGGCAGCCGAAAGTGACCGGGAGCCCGGACTCCTGTATTCACCCAGCGCGAAGCTTTCCCTTCTGCTGGCCGAGCCGAGGTCCAGATAGCAGCGGTAAGTCCAGGGGCACACCAACAGGAAGAGGAGCGGGACAGGAGAGAAGAGTCCCTTTTTCTTCATCTATTTCTGCCAAGGGAAGGGATGATGGAGTAACAGAGGTGGAGGAGGAGGGGGGGGTGTATGAAATGTGACAGGAAAGGCAAATTCTGATTAATTTCTCAGGTTTTGTTGTCACGATGGTTACGGATGAGCACAGGCCAGGTGTCTAGCAGTGCAAGTGGAAAATAGAGTGGGGGAGGGAGGGGGTGAAATGCAGAACAAATAGGTTTTGCTCTGCAAAGAACAAACTTTGCCTTTACGAGCACAGCGTTCCATCTTCTTTCTTTTTTTCTGTTGACCGAGTGTGCAAAGAATTCCGCTTTTTCCTACATCCTACATTCAACCCTGCAGCCTCGAGTGGCTCAAACCCTAAAAATGCTTTTTCTTTTCTCCCTCCGCCGCATGTAAACACTTCCATATGTGTGTGAAGCACGTTAAGGACTGGACCTCAGACGTGTTAGACGTCCAACCAAACATCTGTGATGATTCACAATCAAAGTCATTTATCCGTGCAGCATTGCCCAAGCGGGGATGGATAGTTCGCAAGTGAGGAGATCGAGAAAGACTGGGGCGCAGTGAAGGGGCGGGAGGGGGGGGGGGGGGGGGGGGTGGAAAAAAAAATGTCTTTTCCACAAAAATGAAAAATGTGAGGGTTGGGCCGGGGCCCAAATTTCGGGGGGGGGAAATTTATTGTGAAATTCTTTTGCGGCTCCCCCCCCCTACTCCCGGAGAAAGAGTGGGCCGGGGGCGGAGGCCTCTTCCAATCAAGGCCCCCTCAAAAGAACCCTTTTAGTCTCCTCTGGGGGAATGGAAACCTAAGAAGGAATACAAGGAAAAAAGACGCATTTTGATCCTGTGAGAAGGGTTCTTGTGGGCCCTGAATGGACGCTCTGTGACAGAGGGCCCACGGAAGAAGGAAATTGCACACACACAAGAAACTGGGTCATGGTTATATTTGACCACGGAAAACAAAAGAGGACTGGTTCTACCTAGTGACACCGAAGGCAAAGTGATTTTAATAGTTTAGATGCACGGTCTTCCAACCGTAAGTGACTTTTTCTGATTTAACAATCGGAGTCTAAGAGCTCTGCAACAGCACATCTTTGACCCTCTCCCCATTCAGCGGCCCTTCCTGTTACCCCTTGCCACATGATGGATTGAGGCCGTGGTAAAAAAAAAGCAACTCATTGTCCTTTAAAGATAGTTCTGATTTGACCACAAAGCTTAGATTTGGGCGGGTGACCTATTTGTTGGTTATTAATACCAGACCATGACAATGGAGAGATGGTGTGTAAAAAAACAGATCCATGAGCATGTCTTTATGTAGAGATTCTCAACTGGATCAAATCAGACAGTTGGGCTTGTGACATCTATGTGGTACTTTTATGTGGGACTCAGCAGTCCTCAGACGACTTGCACCTTCAAGCACTTCTCAACTGTCTGCACTACTAAACACCTAGAAGGTGCGACTCTGATTGCACTTCAGTTATTTATCGTTCATTAAATTCACAGATGAAAAACTTGTGAATCCACACTAAATGTGCACCAAACCAAGAGGTAGAGAATAAGAATGCAGACATATTTTATGAGAGTAATTGAGGGTATTTTAGTGTGCGAACACGTGTTTGGCTGAGTGTGTGTGTGTGTTTTTGATGGTTTACATATGTAGTTGTTGGAGGGGGCGAGAGTTCACACGCTCATCACTCTTTTTTTCCCTTTTTGACCTCATCTGCCTCCGTGAAATTTCCCCCAATTTGGGGAGAAGGTGAAGGAGTTCAACCCTCCGCCCCCCTCGACTAAGCCTCCAACGCAGCAAGTTTGTAACACTTGTAGCATGACTGCATAGTCCATCTGGGATGTAATGTGGTTAAACTTGGAGCAGGGATTCCCAACCAGGTGGACTGGTCTCTCAGGAGAATTGTTTGTGTAAATAATCACACTGGAGACAGCAGCAGGTGTTGGTCCTTATAAATGTCTTCTGCGGTTGCCAAAGATTTGGGAAACTGTGTGCGCTGCAAGTATGTGAAGAATAAAATAATAATTGTAAAGTAATGGATAAATGTTTAAGTAGTTAGTAATGGTGCTCCTCCTGTCTCTATGTCAAAGTGTCCTTGAGCGTGACGTTGAGCCACACGTTGCCCCCATGCGCGTTACAGCAAACCCCTGCTCATATCAAGGGATAATCTATCCCGTTAAACTGTATTGGAAAGACTTTTGTAACATGATCGATTGAGTCTGCTCCTGCTGCCTAAACCCTACACGCATATGTGAAAATGCAAACAATACATGCACGCCAGAACGTATAGCGTGATACAGTATTAAGTTCCCTCCGGCCCACATGTTTTTGTTTCTAGGTGGAACATTTTCACAAAGCAAGATCCACTCAGACATGCCGGAGGGCTGCAAAGGGGTGGTAGGAAGGTGGTGACAGGAAAATGCAAAATGAAAGGTCGTGTTTCACGCTGCCATCAATCAATTTTTTTCTGTTAGGGTTGCAGACTTTGGGTTTTGCACTTTTAGCAGTGAGGGGTGGGTAATAAAGGGGCGGTAGAGGTGCCAGGGGAGTGTGTGTGTGTGTGTGTGGCTGGAAAGTGTGCACTTTTAAGATAAACTAGTCTGATGAAAGAGGAGCCCTTGGCCCTGCAGTGGCCCCCATCATCCATCTGGTGATGTCACTTGGATGCGATGGCGAGAGAGTGTGCGTGTGACCCTGCAGTAAGGCCTTTGGGAAGTAAAGGGAGGGTGCAGGGGGGTTATGGGTTGTCAGGTGGAAGGATGATGCTGCAGCTCTCCTCGGTAGCCGTGCACATCTTAGGCATCGCCGTATTGTGGGATGGAGCACTTGTCAAAGACAGACCCCACCGGTGTTCGGCGGGAACCTGAAACCTCCTGGAACATGGTTGCAGGAAAGGAGAGGGGAAGAAGAAAAAGAGCCAAGGAGACGTGCAGGGGCCCCCGGAGTGCCAGACGCATCATTACCTTTCTATTTCACTTGATGAAACCCATTGGGCTGTTTCACACTCTCAATGGGACCCCGAGTTGAAGGAAGCCTCGTATCAGGATTAAGGGGTTGGAGAGGAAGTGATGATGCTGACAGCCGGGTGATGAAGAAGGAGCTTGTTTCTGCAGTGTGTGTGTGTGTGTGTGTGTGTGTGTGTGTGTGTGTGTGTGAGAGAGAGAGTGTGTGTGTGTGTGTAGCTGGACTGACATCCATGTTGCCAGTCTGAATGAACAAGAAGGACGGTGATTGGACCTGCCGAATTGGAGGGACTATTAGATCTATGAAGACAAAACCACTTGATACGTTATTTTGTGTGCGTGAGTGCACGTGTGAGTGCATGTGTGTGAGGGTGTTCACACCTGTGGGCTCTGTGCCTCATTAGCTTATATTAGCATAAGTAAACGGTAGGTGCGTTGCCATGGCAGTTTGCGCCAGGGTGCTGCCGATGGTAGCAGGATTGTGCCAATGCTATTTCATTAACCTTTAAAGGACTTGGTATTAATTTTAGTAGAAGGACCATGAATATCAATGTGTAGTTTTGTCATCTCTCTCTCTGCCAGGTTGTTAGCGACGCTAGCTGCTCGGCTCTCGGGACAGCGATAGCGGTCTGTTGGTGACTTGGCCGTTCCACCGTTTTGGTCCCAACGGAAATATCTCATCAACTATTGGATGCATTCCCACGTCCCCTTTCACAACTTTGGCGACACACTGACTTTTTGCCTCACTTCAAACCAGCCCAAACTTTGGTTCATGCCTAAATATACAGTCTCATGGCTTGTGCAAGGAAATGAAACACACCTGCACCACACCAACTCATAGTCGCCATAACATATGCCCTGGGTTCCTTGTACAATTCTCTCATATGCATCAGATTCAACTGGCCAGGAAGAACATCACTGGGAACCGACAACCACTGGTAATTCAATTGTCCCACATGACTTCATGGTGAGTAATCCACAACTGGGCACTCAGTGAAAACAGCATGGCATGCAGGCCTTATGAGCCGGGGGCAGAGAGGAGGAGTCGGGGGTCAGGAGGGGGTCGGAGAGGGGCTGTAAACGCAGAAAAGAAGGATTCACATCAATGCTGCTGACAGTGACCAAGCGGGACAAATAACTACTAATCTTCTTCATGGACGCGATGAAACAAATAGGCGTTGAAAATCCGAGCAAATGAGACACGCCTGGCATGAGCCGTTTGCTGATGTAAGAAGCGGGGTCGTGCGTCCGCATACTCACACACAGACAGGAGGACAGACAGGAGGGCAGCCATTAGGATGGCTGTAAATGCTGTGTGGATCCAGAGAGAGATCTAAGTCCCCGGCTTCAGGGTTCTTCTGCAGGCACATTCAGAACTCGACTCTCAGTCATACAGCGTAGATCGGAAAACATGATGCTGTCGACAGCTTCAAATTCGCCTTGATAGGCTCAATATTATTGATTTTGAAACTCAAAAGGAGACCGAGATGAGTGAAGGGATGGACTTTAACATTGACAGAATTGTCCCAGTAACGGTATTAGCAGATCCAGGTTTTGAACGCTCCAGGGCTTTAAGAGGCATTATACAGGAGACAGGGGAGTGCTAATTTGTACCCACTGTTACACAAAAATGTGTCTCCAATTGCAGTGGAAAGGAAGGCACAGTTTCCATAGTAACGGTTTTCAGACTAAGTGGTTATCTTCACTCGCTCTCAGTTTTTGCTCTGTTCCTCCCACATTTTACTCTCCTTTTTTTTTTAAATAAATCAAGCGCCAGGGAGCTGGGATACATTTATTAAAATCTAAAGAGAGGACATGGGAGGAAGTTCTGGATTAACACAAACACATGCAAAATACAAAAAAAGGACCAGGGGGATCAGCAGAAAAAGAGATGCAAAAAGGGACGGATAGAAACAATTAATACATTTCCTAATCCAATCACCTGGGAAAATGTTGTTGCTGTGGCATGAATTCAGAGGGGCTACACGGCAAAACAGAATCTAGACATGCAGCAGCTATTCCTGCCCTATATTTCAATATTAATCTGCCACGCTAGAGGATTTCTTGGCCAATCGCACAGTGTAATCTTGTCAAGGGGCAGATGGCACACTCGCAGTTTCAATCGGATCTCCTGGATTGGAACGATGGAGGACGAAGGTTCTCCAGAGGCTCGCCAAGCAGCCGCCGCGCCAAGGTCAGTGGGTTCGCCTGACCGACGGCGCCATGGAAGCAGACATTCACCTTTTTTTCCCCCGGCTAAGCCAAGACCTGGAAGTGACTCGGAGCAGGAGGGGTGGACATTGGACACAATTGCAGGCTAGGATTAGGATTAGCACGATGTAACAGGCCCGTCTTGTTCCCTTTTCCATCTCGCACAAACACCTCCCTCTCTGTCACACACATGGACGCTGCCGTTCATCTGACTCGCTGCCCGGCCGAGGATGCAGTGTTTACTGCGGATGGAAGAGGAGATGAATGCCTGTTGGCCACTTGCCAACATTGAGGAGACATGTTGTGAGAGAGGACACATACTAAATGCTCAGCATGTTAGCAGTGCAATGTTCAACTACCTTAGTTTAGCATGCTAACATTTGCTTATCAGCACTGAACAGAAAGTTCATTGGAGAGGCCTGTGGGAAAGCCGTAGACCTTTGCTCATACAAAAAGGTGACGCAAGCTTTGACATTCTGCAACCAGCAGGGACTACAGGGGATAACTTGTCCCCAGTGAGGAATAGTCAGGTGGATCAAACCCGACCAACCAACCAGCATGGCCATCCGCAGGTCCCCAGTACACTGAGCACATGGCTAATGGGACAGAATGTGGAGAAAAGCATTTGAAAACCAGCGATGTCTACAACAAAAACTTTTGTAAAAAATATTGTAAATAGGCAGGAAAATCACATCCCTTGTGTATTTCAAACTACTAACGTAGTCCAACAGCCCCACAGGTTCACCTCTGCAGAATGCTCCAATTTACAAGGCAGATGTATTAAACAGGCTAGCTAGTGACAGTGTAATTTGCATGGCTGCAGACCGCTCCACTCGGCTCAGCCTCGCCGATCCTCCACGACCAAAACAATCTCACCTTCCATTACCAGATGCTCGATGAGATAAAGGAGTGTGTCGTCCTCTGATAGACCAGGCAGGCAGGGAGATGAATGCATTCGCTGGCGTGGCCGAAGCAGTGGAAAAGAACAAGAATAAATGAATGAATGGGACAGTAATGAAAAGAGGGGGAGGTGGAGGGGAGAAGGTAAGAAGGGGCGACAGGACATTCAGAAGGGCTGAATGCATTGGGAAAGAGGACAAAAATGAGTAAAAGACTCACAGGCCGCTGTACAGTTGTGTTGGTTGGGCTCGACGAGGGGAATGGGGTCGTTTTTTTTCTAAGGATTCTGAAAACTTTTTAAGAGGAGTTTGCAAAGTCCGACCCTGCTATGAAGGATGTCGCACAACCGGCCCAGGAATGCGCAGAAGAATTGAAAGGACATCTGTAAATGAAATGTTGGTAGGTTAAAGACCTGGTTTGTCAATTACTGCTGACAAACACTTTGATGAGGAATCTAATCTGAGATTGGGAAGGACACACTTTTCACAGTCGACCAGCTTTCTTGCCTGATTTGTTGGTGATAAATCAAACAGCGGCTTGGTCCTCTCCGACACTTTCTAAATTCCCCTCCTGGCGCCTCACGCTACATCTCGATCGTTTAAAAGGCAGAATATTCCACAGCCCAGCAGCAGGGATTTTCCCAGCCTTTGAACAGGGCGAAGCTAGCCTTTATGCTAAGCTAACGGGCTGCTGGCTGCGGCTTCATCACGGCGAGGGTGCTATCGATCTTCGCATCTAACTCCAGGCAAGGACGCTTTCATTACGGCCAACGCCTGGTTTATAATGAGGTTACCACAAATGTCACCGTGTGAAAGCTTCACGGGAGAACAATCACCCACTTTTCCATACGATTGCACAGAAAAGGAGACAGAGGAAGGGAGAGAGAGAGCGACGCACAGAATAGCGAGGGTTTGCTCGGCTAAAACATTTGCTTTGGCAGAGGGGTGGTGTTCTACTGGTCCCCTGACATGCATCCGGAGGAGCCCCTCTGTCTTGACCATAAATCTGAATGGAGTGGGAGTTATCATACACCCCCCCTCTCGGCTCCCCGGCTAAACCCCACATTCCTCCCAGACACCGCTTCGTACAAACAAAGTGGCCCGTTCCCACCGCTCGACATTGGGAAAGGCGATGGTCTGTCATGGAAAAATCCTGAGGCATCTCAAGAGTCCTTTAGAAGTTGTTTTCTTTCTCTTTTTTTCCCCCTTCATTTGCCCCCCCCCCCCCCCCCTCCCTCCACCCACAGGGCTCAGCAATGGATCAGCACTTTGTCTGGTGGCTGAACTTTCTCTGTATGTGACAGGAAGGAAACCAAGCTGGACATGGAGTTCACACATAGATGTCGTTTCCGATTAATTGGAGATTAAAACCGAACGTCTATGCAATGTGAAGAGAAGTGAAGTCTGTGAAAGAGCTGAAAGAAATACTGTACAAAGAGCGAATACATTTGAAACAACAAGACATTAGGATGCGGATACACACACACACACACAAAATGCATTGAGGGGAGGAAAGTCCTATCGAAGCCCCTGGTAACACATTCCATAGGAGTCCGCCTGCTCCCTCAAAGGGAGCCTTTTGTCATTACTGAAAGGCGGAGGGGTTACAGGGTTTCTCGCTTTAGGGTGCTGAGAATAATACTCGCTCTCAAGACAGCGACCTCATCCTGACTCTTTTCCCTGCGCATGTGGACGTGTGCATGCGCGTCTCGGAGACGCTGGAAATGAGTGTGACTGCGTGTGGGACAGCTCGCTGTACGTGCAAGAGAGACAGAAGGAGAAGATGGAAGTGTACGGTCGATAATGCATTGCAAGGGTAAGGGGAGGAAGAATAGATCCTCAGGAGGAAAAGAACCCCCCCTTTTCCCCTCCCTCCCCATTGTCTGTCCATGGTGATATGATCTGTAGATGACATTGGCAAGAGCGGGAGGTAATGTAAAGCGCACACATGCAGCCGGGCCCAGGGAGCGGTGGGCTTCAACAGGAAATTCCTTTACAGCCTTTCTGCTGACTAAGGCCTCCTAGTGGGAACAGAGTAAGAACGAATGTAATGTATATGGCGTCTGTTATTTGGGGTCCGGGTAAGGCATCTTGTAGCATGTGCATAAGCCATTACCACAGGGGAGTGAGGAGTGACGGTCTCAGAATAAAAGAGCGGTAAAACCGTTCCAACAAATATGCAGGTAAAATGTCATCGCAGCCACAGAAACACAGCGGAAGAGTCAAATTATTTATGGCTCATGTGATGAACTTCAGGTGCCATTAAAAATACATTTCTCCATAAATATGCCCACTTGCGTATCAGCATCAAGATCAAGGTTAATTTATCCTCAAAGTTCGGCAAATTTGAAAGGGAGATTGGCGCCTCATTTGAATTGATCCCGTGGTGCTATGCTGGTCTTGACTGATGCTCATGCTTGGGTTTCATCATCCACTCACTCATTAATCCCCCACACCAGTGAAAGGGGGGGTGGGGGGGGGGGGCGACAGGGAGGCACAGACAGTAGCCATTTGCAGGCAGCCTCCATGTTGCAGAGGCAGCTCGCTGCACAGGTGTCCTTCCACGGTGACCTAAATTACTCCGTCTGATGCCACCACAAAGACCGCGAGCCTTACTTTGATCGCCTCGCTGCTTCTCCGCGGGCCTCCGGTGCGGCGGAGAGAGATTCTGTCCAACAACCACAACAAAGGCGACAAGAGAACGTTGCCGGGTTGGTATTAATAAAGGCGGGTGATGTTCTGACGTACCGCTGTTCATGTGAAACCCGTGTGTGAGATGGATGCTGCGCCTGAGAGAAAAGGAGTGGCAGGTCGGGAGCGGCGCGCCGAAGCGGAGTAACAGCGCCACCCGGTGGATCACGTCCTGTACTGCATGCTGTCATAAGCACATATGTATTAGAGAAAATGTATTAATATATAACTAATTATATATTCACAACACACTACTCAAAATGCGAAAGAACATGACCAGAAGCGGAAGATATATTATGTAGAAAGAGGGTATTTAAAAAAAAAAAGTAAAATTCATAGTCACTTAAGTCTTAAACAAGGATTAAAATTGAAACGCTTTGTATTAATGACAGTTAAGCCCCCACTCACAAAGAACTCTATAAAACATATCATAGCTTCCTGCAGTGAATACAGGTGTACTGTTTCAGCGATGCTTTATTTAAGGTTTAAAACAGAAACTAACTGCGGTCCTTCATTCGACATTGACTGTGAAATTCCACTTTTTGAGCTGGAGAGTGCTGATAGTTCTACGCAGTAGCTAAGCGCTTAGTTGCAAATAGCTCTGGTATTGAGTGGTGATTTCCTGTTTCAGCCACCAATTAGAATGCGTCAGTAGCCCAGACTGGTTTTCTCCTTTAGTAGCATAATGTCCATTTCCCAAAGCAACACACTACGCCCACTAGCCATGAAGCCTTTAATAACAATGATCATTTGAAAATAAACAAAAGGGAAATAATTGACTTTGGGGGGGGGAAAAAAAAGAAGAAAAAAAAAAGAAAGAACTTGACATCTGATTTGAAAACAGACGAGTGTGGAACAGCTTCGATTAGTTCAACGTGTGAATCGGAAGGGAATACACAGCAGAGAATTATAGACATGCAACACATTGTGAGAACACAAGAACCTGAAGAACAGCCTGTGTCTTCACCAGAAAACATACAACTCAACGTTGACACATCTGCACAACGTCCCGCATGGTATTGCACAGACATGCAATCCAAAGCACATCATACAATAATTAAGCATTTATTTTAGTATAAATATTACACCTCTAGTACTTTTGCCTCGCGCACATTACAGATGACAGAGAAGGAAATCAGAGAAGGATGGATAGTGCGCCCGTTGCTCCTCGGCCTGTTGGCACATTTCCTGCAACCCTCAGTTTCAAAGCAAAGAATCTGCCGCCGCGACAACGGGAGCGACATGCATTCTCTCGGTTTGCTCGCACGCCACCTCGCTCCAGCAAAGTCAAAAGTAATGAATTCCCACGACCCAAATAAGACAAACAACTTATTCAAAAGGCGACACAGTTACAGCCTCCAACCAGCTCACATTAGTCCAACGAATAAGATGATATGACAAAGAGCGGGGAAAGAACCAACGCCGGGTCAGCCGGCGGCGCAGCGGAACCTTTGGATAACATCACACTGCAGAATGTTTTACAAGGCCGTATGTCTAGAGTTGGGAGTGAATCCAAGATGAAAAGTGCTCTGTGAAAGAAGGCCAATATATATATATATATATATATATATATATATATATATATGTTTTCATTTTGAAGATTCTCTCGCATTGTAAAGATGAGAAGGAAACAACGGGGGCACGGGTAGAAACGAAGCATTCAATCATCAAGCGTTGACAAGCAGCATTATAGTTTATGGCTATTTTGCAGCCTGCCGTTACATCGTTGCCCAACCTGCAATGCACTGGCGACATACGTTTTATTATGGCATAATGAAAAGGGGGAAATGGCTCCTTCCTTGCTGCAGGGGTACCTTTCACATTCGGACTCGTCGCTGCGCGTCCTTCAAGCTTTGAAAAATAAAATAAAGGAGTGACTAGTGTTGTAGTGTCGAAGTCAGAAGCTACAAGAAACAGCAAAGAGCCATTAGTCTGCGCTGGCCTGACAGAGCAGTGTGATTCTTATTGCCTTACTCTTTTTAACAGGTTCCCCAATATGGTCCAAACCCGCCGGGACATCCCTTACTGACAATCATGACATGGTGACAGTGTGGACAAAGAGTTAAAACACGGTAAGCATAGTTCGTCGGCCGAGAACTAGCGTTAATGGTTGAACAGAGTTTCTGTTGCAGTGGCTCTCATTCCCAGTTCTCCCAGTCTTCATCCATCTGGTAAAAAAACAAAAAAAAGGAGCTTAGTAACAAGTTTAATTTCTCATATTTTAAAGTGGAAACCGCTAATAGTGATCATCCACTATATATAAATATATATATATTATTACACACACACACTCACACACTTATTTTACTCCTGATCTGGCTGGATACCTGAAGCTAGTGCTGTGTGCATTTAAAAATAAAAGATGGGGGGGGGGGGGGGTCCTATCTCAAAAAGAAATCTCCTGGAAGAAGACGTCAAACTGACCGAAGAGACCCAAACAGATACAGCAGCAAAACTCCTCAGACGGCCGTGTGCAGTCTAATGGGCGCACCATGGGAACGCCGCCACCATCAAGTGGATTGATAAAACATGTTAAGGTGACGTCCCCTTAAAATAAGACTATGCCACCATGGCATGTGCAGCTGCATGCACCGCCCACACGGATCCGTCAAAAAAAACGGATCCTCAACCAAAGCCAGCACTTTGTCAGGGAATAGAATACACGGATCAATATAACGCAGACAGCGGTGATGATTAGGAGCCGTTTCCACTGTATTTTGGTAAATGTCACAGCACCAACCTCTCCAGAAGCTTCTATTTTAGAGAGTGCCATTTGGACTTCTTCTTCCGTCATGTCCAAGTCAAAGTCCTTCTCCCAGTCCTCACTCACATCGGTGCTGGACCCTGGTGACGGGAAAACACATTTAGAAACTGTGTGTGACCTCCACCAAGCAGCTTCTTGCCTGAGCCTATTGAGTGGAAAGCTCACGACCACGTCGCTGAACTTAATCCTGTTTGCCGTTACACTCCCTGCCTGGACCAGCGGAAACCGGACGCCTGCCACTCACTGACAAATGAGGAACACCCTGAAGTCAGCTCACCTTTCTTGCCATTGTTAGAGGGCGAAGACTTCCCGCTGTCGGAATTGAGCTCAAACACTCTCAGGTCCTGCAGCCCCTCCTCCTTTGCCGCGTCTGGTTTGTCGGTGGGGGCGGACGGCCGCACGGACGCCCCATCGACGGTGACCTCTGGCGAGTCCCTCTTCCCGGGCCTCTGCTTTGCTTGCATCTTGCCCGCGGCATCTTCCAAGCTGGCATCGGTCAGCTTCTCGGCAAGCTCCGTGGCAACGGGCTGCACGGCAACGGGCTCCGCGGCAACGGGCTCCGCGGCAACGGGCTCCGCGGCAACGGGCTCCCGCCACGCCGAAACCTGCGTCGGCAGGCTGACGCTGTCGCTGCTGCCGGAGAGGGCGGCGTCGCGCTCTTCGGCGGGGGACGGGACGGAGCTCAGGAGAGCCGCTCCCGCGGGAGCACTCGGGGTGATGGGGGGCCGGGTTGAGCTGTTGTCCAGGGGTGGGGTCAGGTTCAGTCGAGATGATGACGTAGCGCCGAGGAAATCATCTGACAGGAACGGCATGAACAGAGAGACTGTAAGGGACAGGTCTTTAAAGTCAAGCGGTTTAATTGAGATGATAAGCAGGAGATCGCTTACCTTCCTCCTCTTCCTCCCAGCCAAGGGTCTCTGTGTGTGTAGTCTGCTCCGCCCTTTGCTTCAGCGCCAGTCTCCTGGCCTCCTCCTAGAATAAAAAAAACAATAAGAGGGAAATTTGATTGTGTTTATTGTCAAATATGTTTCCTTCCATATCCCATTATTTATATTTAGTTTTAGCAGAAAACATGAATAGGCTTAAATTCTGTGCCACCTTTAAGTGTTTCCTTATTAACACCCTGTCATGGTGCTCTTGTTGTTGTACTAGATTATTCAGCTTATTTTATGGTATTAAATACATGTGGTTAAAAAAAAGTATAGTAATACTGATCGTTCATCAAATACAGCTAGTGTATTTTTCAAAGTTTAACATGCTAAATAAATTTGGGACAAGATAAACACACAACCAGTGCTTCCTACAGTCCCACTGGGCATGTGGAACCACTGGCATGTTCCAGCCAGCAGGTGGCGCCCAAGATAATCGTTTCATGTGATGAAACAGACACCTTCTGCTGGTAAGAACACACCAAAATAGCACCAAAACACCAATAGCACAACTACCTGGTCCAACTGAAAGACTCTGTAGAAATACCGCTGCCAGAATTCTGAATGTGTTACAGCCGCCGGCACCTGGGAAACACAAAACAAATTATAAAAGAATGTCCTCCTTGTCTGCACCGCCAATTCTCATTATGACGTCTCATTCTGATATTAAATGGTCAGCGGTGATGACAAAACCATTGCTACACACCATTTTTGTGTAAAGGGCTCGTATAGAAGGACTGGTGACCAGAAGCTCTGAGATTTCTGTCTTTGTGTCTTCCAAGCTGAATCTGGACAGCCAGTTGTCAAACTGCTCCGGGGGACCTGGAAAAAAAAGACTTCTCATTAAAATACATCGTAACCTACAAAAAACAACGCAATCACATTATGATTTAAATGGTGCGTCACCACACAAATCTAACTCATGACTAACATCAAAAATACATGTGTGCAGCAAAATTAATTCGAAAACCGATGCATAGAACAAGTACTAGAAGAATAAAATACTAGTTCACTTTAAACACAATATAACCAATGACAGTCCAACATTCTGCTTCCTTGAGTCTTACCATCCGGCTCATTGCAGTACGTAGCAGGGTCCGCTTGCAAGCTGTAGAGACGCGCCTGCAGGACAAACAAATGCTACGCTGTGGTTAATGGTCTCAACATGCTACATCATGTGCTCACTTTCACGGTGGTTAATTGTCTCAACATGCTACATCATGTGCTCACTTTCACGGTGGTTAATTGTCTCAACATGCTACATCATGTGCTCACTTTCACGGCCCACAGCATCTTATGAGAAAACATACAAGAACTAAATCCGCCCTGAATCAACTTCAACAACCGTTTGTTCGACAGTCACGTCTCCCATCTATTTATTTCAAACAACTCCTGCACAAAGATCTAGTTAGCCGTCTAGTCATTTAAAAAAAAACCTCAAGGTTTGTGATACAGTGAACTTTCTAACAGGTGACATTGAAGTGTATTTCTCAGCTAGAAGGACGAGAAGACCTACCTTACAACTGTCGTAGACTTCTGTAGTTCCTGACGGCGTCGCCACCAACGTGATTACATCACAGTCAATGGTTTTATCGGGTGGCGGAGCGAGCGTGTCAGTTATTACTCCTAAGAAACTAGAAAGGCTCTTCTTCACTTTTTCTGAGGTCTCAGAGGACCCTTCCACCTGGAAAGCAGCATTAATAGATTCCTAAATTCCCAGGCGTACAGGGGACGATAGTCTTTTGAACACACATTCAACAGAAATTTGAAAGAAATAACAACGAACAAGGTGAAGGCTGCAACTTACCGCGAGCTTATTCCTGACAGCCGTGGCCGTAGCCACAATTGAGCAGGTTGTGTCGTGTTGAACCACGGTGGAGAACTCTGTCAGGTCTCGCTTTATGAATTCTAAGGCCTCCGTGGACTGCAGGAGGAGAATACAACAATCATATGCAACTTTAGCATTTTAATTCAAGGGTCGGACAAGATTCAAATAATACAAAGAATTGAATCAAATATGTTGAACAAGAGAAATGTTCAGAAACTGAAAATCTACAACTTCTTTAAGCAGACAATCTACATCTGCTTAGACTAGGATATAGCTGGCACATTTAAAATCTTGTCCTTCCGCAGCTATAATCACATCGGGCAACCAGGTTTTATTCACAAGTTGTAAAGTTCATAATATTTTAGGGGAAATGACTTTTCGTTTTACTTTGTCAGTCGTAATGGTACGTTTACGCATACCTGTCTGAACTTTCATGACAACTAGTTGGTTAGTGTGTGTTGTTTACAAACGTGTACATAACCGTTTTAAGCATCTACTTAAAAGATTCATGACATCTTTACACGGGGTTAGGACATTAATACAAATGAAGCGGATGTGTTTATGCGGGGTACCTTATCTTTGACGGCCTGGTAGCTCTGCTGAAGCCAGCCTCCCCACCAGCCTTCTCTGTAGACATGCACACATTTAGAAACGGGATACTCTCCGGAACCACAACAGCAGAGTAGACATTTTACTTTCAATTTCGCGTACCAACAAAGCGATACATAACAATTTTCGACAGTTGGCTTCCTCGAGCGCATTCTGGCTAACTTAAGCTAACACGTAACGTTAGTTGCCTAGCCAACAAGCTAAACGAGCTAGCTCACGTCAGCTAGCAGCGACATGGTACGTAATCTGTCAGCCACAATTGCAATAGGTAAGGCGGAACGTAACTGCTAGCTAAGAACAAACAGGATACACACATTACGTTGTATATATAAAGACGACTTTGTGTGGTTTACGCAAATTGCTAACCAGGCTGTGCTAACGCTAGCCAGGCTATGTTTTGGTAAACAAACGCGACTTCCTAAACCGATTCCGTGAGTTTTAAAGCACAGCGTTCAAACGACCCCACAACACAAAACTTCATTCGAAACATAACACGTTAACGAACACAACGTGCACACGGCGACGGTGCTCTCTGCTGTATTATATCTAAACGAACAAATAAGTAATTTGCGAGTTCACTCTCACCCTTCAGCCATCTTCAGGCGATGACATCATCAGTATTTACTGAACTCCGACCCGTGTTGCAAGGCTTTGAAATACACGTGATGCAGAATGACTTCCCTCCTGCCACGCCCGGATAGACACATCTACATATACGGAAATGAATCGAATGAAATTCACTGTTATGAATAGTTGTCTTGTACCGTTTGTAAACAAAAAAACAAGTTAAGTTTCTGCGACATCTACGGTGGCCGCAGAGGACCAAAACAGAAGGCAACGCCAAAGATGGACGTTTGGGAAGCACGGTGTGTAGAAAGAAACCATGAGATGACTCTCGGTTGTTTTAATATGTTTTTTATAAAACAAGAGGTAACCAAGCTTTGCTTGTGATTTCATACTGTTTACGTGCTCACCTCTGCAATAGATTTGTCACAAAATGAATTTCCACTTAGTGTAGGAACCTTGATTATTTTGTGTGTTTAACTGTGTGAAAAGTCAACACAAATCAGTAAATGCATCAGGAGCCCCCATTACCCGGTTTAGAAGAAGTATATTAAAAACAAAGGACACCCAGCAGTGCAATACTTCTGCGAAGGAGGTTAACAATTTAAGCATATGCAAGTCATTTTCTTTTAATTAAACATAATTTAACCAATAAGCTGCACACGAAACCAAACAAATGATTCCAGACCACACCTCTCCTTCTCTGGCCACTATGTTGACTAATCAGTTGTTTAGCTATTCCAGCATGAACCCCCTCATCAATCTCTCTGCTCTCAGTATCTGTGAATGTGCATGTGTGCGTATCTCCACACATGCACATTGCATACGGGTGGGTCGACTCCCAGCATCTGTGCTTTGCCCCTCATCAGTATTCTGGGTGAAAGGGGGGCTGTAAGCTTTACTGAGCACAAATGAAAAATAACAGGCAACAAGCCCCTGGAAGTGTGTTCTCCCTTAATTGAAGTCCCCCCTTAAACAGACGCTGCACAATGCGTGCGTATGTCCCTCAATATGTCTCCCCCGTCCAGCCGCTCAATCCTCTTAATTGGGTCTTTCAGTCCTCTAATTAACTCTGTCAATGCAGGTTTTGGGGAGCCAAGTTGGGACAAGTACTCCTCTATTGAACAGTAATCTGAGGCAGTTAACGTACCCAGCTGCCCTCAGTGTGTGTGTGTGGTTTTTGCATGATATTTAATGCACAAAAAGGGAAATGTGTCGTATCATCGATTGTGTCGTTCAATAGTTCTGTGTATATTACTTTTGAAACTTCTCTTCTTCAGCCGATAAGCCGTTAAGTAGATTCAGTTCGCCCAATTCCGATCCGATTTTAGATTAGTTTATATGACATGTTTGTTAAGAAAAATATGCACTGCTAAAATGTATTTATACAGGTATGTATCTCATTCTCAAGAGGGACCTGAATGTGCTTGGTTGTTAACTGTACCTAACTTTAAGTATGAATTTCATTTCTTCCATTCTTTTTAGTTGGAATACTAAATGTAGAAGTAAAGCATACTTGTTAAACGCAGATTAAGGAAATCCATTGTATGGCACTTAATACTTGTACTTCCCCTCATTTTAGTGGCAGATAAAGTACATTTGTCTCATGTAAAGTTTGAAAAATCTGCCAGCGTTGCATATTTTGAGCCATTTTCAATACAAATGCACTTTTTTTGCTTTTTATACAATCATTTCCATTTCATAATTCTAGTATTCCACTTGACCTGCCTGCCTCAAAACTCCAAGAACTTTCAGTATTGCTTTGTATTCTCAAAGGTAATAGTGCACAACATTGTGACTTAAACCAGAGCTTTCACTGCTGGTTAGCGTATGCTAAAGAGCACCACGGTGACAGCAGTGGCTGAACGTAATGGCACACAGAGGACCTGTCCATATTGTATGATTTAAGACGCATATCCATTAAACACCACACACATCACACCCACGCATGCTCCACGCCGTGGGTTAACGCCATCTGGTGCTGATCAGGAAACACCAGTTTTGCACAAGTCAGTGTCTCTAATTATCTACCTAGAGCAAAGCAAGGCCGATCCCCTCTAATCTCCACAATGTGTTCTGCTTCCCATTCCCACCTGTGCCCAAGTAAAGGGGAGGGGAGGAGGGTGGGGGAGGGGCCCGGGGTCACCCTGTCAAGGGACCGGGGACCAGGTGACGCCGCAACGCCCAGTCCCAACGACAGAAGCTCTGCCGCTTGGTTTGGCTGGCAGCTGCCTCCCCCCACTGAGACATCCCACAGCTGACAATCCCCAAGTACTGACAGGGGCTCTTTTCAGTGTCAATAGCCTCATATATTAGAGCTAACCGCCTTTGTGGCGAGAGAGGGTGTCAGGCCTTTTGGCCCGACAGCGCTTGTTACCATGATGAAATGTAGATTGAATGGAGGGGTCTGTGTCTCAGGCACGAGAGCTTGGACTCCCCCGGCCTTTGTGTCCCACGCATGGCCATTGTTCGAACCCATTCAGCGGTTCTCGGGGGCAGAGGAGGTGGGGTAGGAGGGAGGTGGGTGAGAATGAGTTACATCTCTTCATCTCTGCCCTAATCTCCAACTCGTCTGTCAGCCGTGGGAGGATAAGCATGTATTTTACACGCTTGATTTGTTGCTAAGTGAGGGCCGGCCATTGTCAGGTTGTTTGACTAAATCATGTTCATGGCAGTCAGTGTGAATAACACTTTCAGCGGATTCATCATTGTTATGAATCAGCTGCATGATTTCTAAGACAAACACAGCATCGTTTGACTGCAAATACATTTAAAAAATGTGTGAAAGTATTTGCTGTAAGTTGGAGGAAAGTACTGATTTCTTTTTACAAACATTATTTTTTGGACCTAATTATGTCCTCAACTTTAAATTGGCCTTTTGTGTGCCTATACCCATGTTGTTATGAAGCAAAGGACGTGTCTATGTGCCTCGAACTGCGCAGACAAAAGTGACGCGCCTTCCTGGCGCCTGTGTCGTCCTTTCATCTCCTGCTCCCTGTTGAGGTGAAGATGGATGGTCCCCTGGCGCAAGAACCCCACATTCAGCCTCTGCTGGCGCATTGTCTCGTCCTTCTGTCCCCCTTTAGTCTGTCCAAAGCTGGTTAGCAACCAGTGACACCCACTCCTAAATATCAATTTTTCCTCTTTTTTTAATAAAACCCCCTGTTTATTTAAAGTAAATGCAGCTGTATTGTTATGATATTGTGTATTTGTCAGTATGTGTAGAAAAAAAAAAACATCCAGTAAAGATAAAAATAATTTAAGTCACAGGGAATGTAAACATTCACAAAAAGAAGAAGGCAGACAATTCATTCTTATTATAACAACATTTTAATTTAGGAAAATAGAAATCCTGTAATAGGGGCACACCAGTTCCATTTCTGACTGTTTCATTACCACAGATAATGTTGACAGTTGACACAGATTAAATTACAGTAATTGCTACTCTGGTAAAAATGTATTTAGAATATTTTTGTATTAACAATGCAGTAAAAATAGCAGCAGTTTGCATGACAGAAGATATATCTTAAATATGTACAGGCTCTGGCACCAGCCATCGTTTCAGCAGTTCGTTCAAACCATCTTCTGCGAGCTGCTTGGCTCATCGCGTCGATCCAAACGGCGGAGGGCAGTTTTTTAGGAGAGCTCTGCTCACTTGGTCATAGACAGGCTGTGCAATGTGGAGGTGGGGATGGGCAGAGGCTGGCAGAGCGAGCAGGGACAGGGCATGCCTGGGAAGTGCCTGTAGGAGCTGGCCAGGTGGAGCGGGTCCTTCAGAAGGCCCTGGACCGAAGCGTGAAACCCCAGGAAGCTGGAGGATGGAGGAGAGTGCAGCGCCTGGGCCGCAGAGGGACACGGTGGGTGATGCTGCAGGCCCGAGGGTGTGCTGCCCACCAGCGAGTGCAGCGACTGGGCCAAAGGATGCATGGGGAGGTGGGCCGCAGGAGCCGCGGGGCTGATGGCCGAGTGGGCAGCGCTGCGGCTTTGGACGGCGCCGCCGCCTCCGTAAACGTCCCCCACCAACTTCTTCATCTCGTCCAAGGAGCTGGACAGCATGAGGATGTAGTTGCGGGCCAACAGCAAGGTGGAGATTTTGGAAAGCTTGCGGACGGACGGCCCTTGAGCGTAGGGCATGACCTCTCTCAGGCTGTCCATCGCCTGGTTCAGATCGTGCATCCTTTTCCTCTCCCGACTGTTGACTTTCAGTCGCAGGTCCTGTCCCTCGTTCTTGTTAGGTTCGGTCCTGGTCTTGTTCTTCCCGCCCCCGCCGCAGCGCTCCGTCCGCCCCCGGCCGCCGTCGTCCTCGTCGTCCGCTCTGTTTTCTTGGCAGTACGTCTGGAACATCTTGTTGGAGAAGAAGCTCCCGGCGGAGTCGTCCACCACCAGGTCCGGGGACGAGGAGCGGCTGCAAACGGAGCCAGAGTCCGAATCCATCTCGTTTGAAGCAGGTTAATGTGGCGGCGACAACTGGTACGAAAACACGAGCCTGAATGCTGGGAGCTTGGGTTCAAATTCTACTTCCCAGTTCTCTGCGTTCCGAGCTGTTCCAGTTCCCTGTCGTGTCTCCACGGAGTTTGCGCCGCTCGGTCTGACAACCAGTCTGTCCACGGGAGTGAGTCCGTCTAAACTGTCACCCTCTGGGCCCGCTGGGGTGTATTTATACCCCCGACATAACAAAGGAACAATAAAGCTGCATAATGAGACACTTAGAGCCGCAGCCAATTGCAGAGGGGACACACTTTCTACCCCCCCCCCCCCCCCCCCCCCCCCACGCCTCTCGCACCTCCTGCCTGCAGCCCCCACTTCACCTTCCCACACCCACGTTTAACTCCCCCCAACCCCGAGGAGCCCCCTACACATTAACCAAAACAGTTGGGTGTTAAGTTGCACCCGGGATTAACCACTATGTTAAAAACCTCTATTAAAAACAGTGGTGCGTGTTGCACAGTGCAACAAACTGATGCAAGTAGCATGGGGAGGTCTTGTTGTTATAATAATGCACACAAGGTTAATAATCATCAATGGAGTAGAAATGTGTTCCCCTAAGCTGCAACAATATTAATGGGATTCACCGAGACAGATATTCAAAGTGAAGTGAAAGCGAGAGTGGGAACCAGAGATCAGAGATTTCTGCCCTGTTCCATAACACCAGATATATGACGCCCCCGAGGCCTAATTTACATACGGTATCCA